GAAGTTCATTATCTAGTCTACAATTCCCAAATACCATAAATTTAGTTTTATCCATATTCAGAGATAGAATATTACTATCACACCATTTCTTTATCTTCTCAAGTTCCTGTGAAACCTGTCCCGAGAGTTGCTGTAGGTTATCCCTGGATGCCCATATGGTAGTGTCATCAGCAAATAAGACCACTTTCACTAAATCCGAAACCTTGCACATATTGTTAATGTATAGTATGAATAATTTAGGTCCCAAAACTGAACCTTGAGGCACTCCACATATAAACTTCTGCTATTAAAGTGAATTAATGTTAATTTGTTTTCAGTCTTGACATTGCTGTTAAACTGCTCATCCGTGTAATACTTGCAGTTATTTTCAAGGTTCTTGAAAAAGTTTTTTTCAGGGTCAAAGCCATCGTCCGTTTCATGATAGTGAATTTCAGTGTCTCCAAATGTATTCAGTTCCAGATCCCGTCCCTCAAAGTCTATTAAGTTCTGTAGCAAATCACCTGCCTCATATCGTCCATTGGTCATGCTGGTTGTTGTTGGTTCCAAAGCTCATCTGCCATCGCAGATATCAGTATAGTTGCAAGTTTCTTCAGACATGAGAGGGTCCAGCGGCCCCATCATACTCTCCTTGTCTCGGCGTACTGGTCCTGGGTCCAAAATCCTGGTTCCGAGGTCGGGTCACCAGTTTATCGTATCGCAGAAACGCGATTAAATGTATGCAATGCAATGAGACAAAGATTTAATTTTTTACTTTCATTTATGTAGCACAGGGGACTCACCCCAAGTTCAGGATTTGCTTGAGGGGGTACCAAGATGGACCTGATCCAGAGTTGGTGCACTCTTTCATATGACACAAAATGACATGTGCAAAATTTATCTCCTGTAATAAAACACACAGTAAACAGCAAATAAAATAAAAAAGATAATGTTTTCTTCTTCATGGTCCTGGACAGTTGGGGTTTGTTGCATAAAAACGTCGTGACTGCAGTATGAAAAGTATCATAGTCTGCCCAGGTTTGAATGTGTGCTACAGTGTGAGGTTACATTTAGCTAGGCCTTTGCCTTCTTTCAGGTTGTTATCTCTGGTAGCACACTGGCCCACTGGTTTACTGCGCAATCAGCGAAGGACCAGAGATAAGAGCCCAACAGAAGAGCTTCAGTGTCTGATCAGGAAATACGACTGCTAGGCTTCACACTGGCCCTGAGCCAAACAGGACACAAATTTTTAAAAGTCATGTAGCTGAGTGACTGAGCCTGCACATGGCAAATAAAATAAGAACATTGACATGTATACATGAACATTTTTGACCCTTACATCTGTCTGTATACTCATCAAACACATACACTGTCTTTTCACCAGCAGGTGTTACAGGCATATAATTTTTCACATTCTCCTAAACAGCTTTGTTCAAACAACATTATTGAAAAGGCTTTCAGATTTATAATTAAGAGACAGCTGCAAGATGCTGAGCACACCTTTCACTCAGGTTCTTCTTCATATGTTGCATCAAGGAGGAAACAAAGACATGTTGCTCTTCCCTGTTCATGACAATTTTACTCTCTCCTGCAATATGAGCCATTTCCTTTTCAATCAATTAACTTTTACATACCTGTTTTATGTGTCTTGTTAAAATAAGGAAGAATAAAGTAAAAACATGACAAAGCTTACAACAAAAACAGTAAAAGTAATGAACTCACTTAAATGTTTTCATTTGTGCAAGATTTAATGGTTTCTCAGGAAGTTCTGTATGTTTTACGTTTGATGCTTTTATGTCCAAGGGAAACTGAAAATAAGTTGCAAGTGATGGGAAAACAATTAATGTAATATATAAAAATGACCCCATAACTAAACAAAATGTGATATTTAGATATTTTTTGTTGCTTTTTTGTCTTTGTTGTTCATTTTATCTATTTTGAATGATGACACAAATGCTCTACAAGTTTCAACTAGCAACAGTCCTTTTAGTCTTACTGACTTTATTTCACTTTAATCTCATGACCTCACTGGTGAAGGTTGTCTTCTGCCCCTTGAATCCAAACCTCCAGTGAGACTATAAACAGCGTGTAAAAGTGAGTGACAGGCCAGGAGCCATGTGTGGCCAAAGATGAGAACTGTCAGGGTTAATTTTAGCTTTGGCATGTCCAAGTGTCCAACACCTGTGTTGCAAAGTAAGATGGCAATGAATAGCAACTGTTTACATATCTTTGTCGAAGGTCGACATGGGGTGGCTGGATCACTGTGTGCCATATTGACTTGTGAAAGTTCAAATCAGGGCTGTTGTGCTGGCTCTGAAGAACATGAGATGTTATTATCACAAACCAACCTCAGCTGCACCTCCTCTCAGAGTATTTGGTGCGTGCATGCATACTCTAGTAATATATTTTTAAAATATTGATTCTGCAATTTTAGTTTTAGTGTAGCCTATATGTCATCACTAATGCAAATGTCACATTATGATGCTGACACTGAATACTCCCCAGTGGTGGAATGAGTACTCAGACTCTTTACTTAAGCAAAGGTCGCAATACTACAGTGTAAAATACAAGTACATAGAAGTAAAAGTCCTACATTCATAATGCGATAAAGTCTACTGCTGGGTAGCATGTGAATTTCACACCGAAATCAATAAAATGTCATTATTATACTGTATATATGGTACTGCTACTTTTACTTAAGTAAAGAATCGGAGTACTTTTTCCACCAGTAGAAATTTGACCCTCTATTCGCTCCAAGTCTCACAAAGTCTCGCGTGATCTGGAAAGAGCATTCGATAGCATCGTAAGCTAAAGTTATCTCTCGATAGTTAGCCTTCGTGACGAAGGTTTCGTCAAAGGTTGGTGCTTCCAAAAACATACATTTAGGACAGTTTACAAAAACGTAGGATCGTCCTCAAACATATTTAGTCGGAAATGA